TACAATAAGCTTATACTAGTATGTGAAAACATTGAGGCATACAATCTAGCTTGTTTCGACCCCAAAAAGAAGGTGTCTGGTTTAATCAATCAATTATGATAATTCATTAATATATGGGAGAGATTGTATAAAGAAGAAGATATAATACTATTTATTAACAAAAGATTCCGCAGTAATAATAACCGGAATAGTTCAGATGGTTTTAGAGGTTTCAGAAGTGGTAATTTTAGAAGCAACAGTTTCAAGAGCAATACCAATAGGTTTCGATAACAATCTAATTCTTCGAATCAATGAAATTGTTGCTGGATATATAAGAAAAAGAGATATCGATTAATAAAGCATTCCCAAAAGGAATAGGATAAAAATCGATATGAATATTAGGAAAAGATTAAGGATAATAGTAATAATACGTTTAATAAGTGCTATAACCAATAATTGATCGAATACAAGGAAGAAGCTATTAATATAGAATCTGATTCAGAAACCGAAATGGAATAGTTCTTTGCAGATCTTGATATTGATGATATTAAAGAAAAAGCATTTTTCGTTAATTTAGAATCTATAAATAACTAAAAGATATTTAATTAATTATTAGTTAATATGATATTGTATATATTAATTAGAGATCCTATTAAAGCTATTTTACCAACAGAAAGTGTAATAGATGTTTTTTATATAAGTTATACAAGCAAGGAGTTCTTTGATATATATATCGATATAGCTTGTATAGATAAATCTATAGTTGGGATTGGATAATATTATGTATAGCAATAGATATACTTAGTAATATATAATCTATAAACAATAGGAATAGCGAATATATGCTTTGGGAAGGGGACTGTGATATCAATAGATTCATTTCGTATCGATATATTATTTGAATATATTGTTTTTCATATTATGGATATTGATATTCTATTTTTATTGGAATTTAAGGATATAAATCGGCTTAAAGTATTCTATAACAATATTACTAACAAATTCATCAATCCAATCAATCAATATTCTGTCATTAGAAAATGCGGGCATGTATTTTTGATATGGAAGATGAATATGAATCAATTCATTCAAGAGTCTATTTACTAGAATGACTACTATTTAACAACTACTAAATTATAGTATTTATATTGATAATTCGGTTATTCATTTACACAATACTTTTATAATATACTACAACATACAGGCTATAACGAGAGTAATGATATTATAAAACATCTCATCAAATACTACAAGTACTATTAAATGCATAGCAAGTCACCCGGATGTTTCAGATTCATTCTACTAGAGGATATTGAATTTAACTATGCTATATATATTGACATCATGTATATTGCAGGCGAACCAGTTCTGCATATTATCGACAAGGCAACACGCTATCAAGCAGCTTGATTCCTTGAAAACGTTTCAGCTAAGTATATATTCGATATTCTTTGAGAATACTGAATTGATGTATATATAGGATTACCAGATTATATTATTCATAATGCAGGAAAGAACTTTGTGAGTAAAAAGTTTATTCAGAATGTAAAATCTATATCAATTATTATCAAGAGTATACCAGTTGAAGTATACAACTCTGTAGGTATAATGAAGAGATATTATTACTCCTTATATTATATATATAAGATTTTAACTAAAGAACTTGAAGATAATAATTTAACAAAAGTAATGATCCTACAAATAATAGTAAAAGCTGTAAATGATATAGCCGAACCGAATAGGCTTATTCCTATACTGCTAGTTTATAGGATATATTCTAGATTGAGTGATATTAATCTATTAATTTCGATAATTATTCAATATACAAAAGCTATAAAGAAAGCTATAGCAGAAATATATTATATACAAGCTAAAAAATAGATTATAAAAACATTCAGACTAAGGAATAGATTATCCACAATATCAATTCTTATTCTACTACTTAATTCATAAGTTTTAGTATAAAAAAAAGGAAAAGATAGTAATATATTAGATAAGTGGATTGGATTATACACTCTGATTGAAACAAATAGAGAAACATATGAAATGAAACTTACTAATAAACCAACTAAATTTCGATTTATATCTGTATAACCTTTTTATAAAGAATCTGAAGAAATCGAATCGAATGATAGTAATGATACAAATGATAACAACGATGGTGATATTATAGTAGTTAATATATTATAAATGGAAATACTATAATTGCAAATACTATTGTTAGTAGTATAACCAGATATATAACTATATTATCATATGAGAAGTAACTTAATTAATATAATCAATTTGATAAATATCAATATTAAGCTATTATTATTATAATTAATTGTATTCTTATAAGATGATATATCTATACAATATAAGGAATTACAATATAAGGAAATTGATGGACTAATAGAAAATAAAGTCTTTAAAATCGTTTTAAAAGCTAGTATATCATCCGGAACATGATTATTTAAATCATGATTTATTAATAAAATAAAAGAAGAAGGTATTAATAAAATATATACAAAATCACGATTAGTGGTTCAGATATATTAAGATATAGGCAAAACTATTGTTTTAATATAATCATTAATTATTCAATATATTAGTTAATATATTATACTTACACTTACCACTATTTTGCAAGTATCAAACAAGTATATTCAGGTTTATTTATAGGATATCATACAGGCATACATCTAATCAATTACAATTTTGAATAGACCTATGTCACGAGAGAATATGCCTATATAAACCCAATTAGCTTAATGCTCTTGGTGATATCACTTTTAGCGTGATAGTTATGAGCCCGGTATGCGTTTATAGCGCAGTGGCATAATTCTTCACTTTACCGTACTCTCTTGTAGTGGTTTTCTGTGGGCCCACTTATAAGAGGGTATTTCAACAGAACCACATTAGTCATCTGATCTTGGCCTATTAGAGCTAATGTGAGGACTCTGCTCTGTTGCCCCACTATTTTCCGCTCAGCCTATTAGATGTATCCAGGGAGAACCTAATACTAGTTGTATCCAATCAGAAGAGAACCTAGATTTGGCATCATATGGAAATAGAAGGAGATCTGCGTATGACTCAATGAGGCTAGTACGGAGATTACTGCCCACAACCAGCTAGTCAGCAATCTCGGGGGTGTGTCACGAGAGAATATGCCTATATAAACCCAATTAGCTTAATGCTCTTGGTGATATCACTTTTAGCGTGATAACCTATTTATATAGAAATACTAGAAGAGATTAAACTTGATTTTGGATATATATTATATATTATAAAGCCCTTATATAGTATATCAGAAGCAGGAAATCATTAGTTTGGAATCTATTATAATCATTATAGGGATAGGCTAAATATAATATAATCTACATACAATCCCTATTTACTTTATTCTAATAATAATATCGGTATTGTAGGACTACAAACCAATAATACTTTTATAATTGTAAACGAAAGATTTATACAATTAGAATAAGAGCAATTGAAGAAAGCCGGATTTATGGCTAAAAACAGAAAGCAATTTACTAAAGATTATTTATTTAAGTTTAATAATGGTTTAATCATTTTTAAGAATAATAGAATCTATTTGAATCAGGAAAAACAGTATGATAATCTTTGAATGGTTATGCTAGGGAGTATTGATATACGGGAAACAAGGAAAAAGATTCGAAAGAATATTATTTCGAAGAATCAATATATTACTCAATACGCGAGAAGTGCGTATATTGTAATAGTATATCAATCAGAGGTATTATATCATTTTTCAGTTGTTGTTTAGGTAATAGATCTAAAGAAAGAAAATGCTATTAAGCTTAATAAGGTCATTAAATAATAGATAAACAATTCAAAAAGAGGATTAATCTTTATATCTTTCGATATGGATTCTATCAACTTAATTATCTTTATTAACATATCCTTTACTAATAATACTAATCTATTATTACAAATCGGCTATATTATATATCTTATAGATAAGCATAGCAATACTAATATTATCTATTGAATATTGATCAAATACAAGAGAATCACTAGGAGCATACTAGCTTCTAAATTATATGCACTAGTTCTAGGTTTGATATCGAAATTATTATTAAGGATACTATCAATACTATTCTCAAATCTAAAAAGCAAATATCATTTATGCTTTGTACAGATTCTAAGTCACTATATGATCTATTAATTAAACTCGATATAAGTACAGAAAAACGATTTCTGATTGATATTATGGTTTTACAATAATACTATAAAAATAAAGAGATCATGGAGATTAAATAAATTAATAAAAAATCGAATCCTACAAATGTTATAACTAAAAACGGTGTATGTTAAGTTTTAAAAGACTTGATTGATATTAATAAAATAATTATTAAAGTAATACATTAAGTGGAAAGAGAATAGTGGAAGGGGAGTTAAAGGAATAGGAATAGAACATTGTACTTAAAATTGAATAATAGGCTTAGGCTTAAAGCATATAATCCATTCAACTTAAGAGTTGTCAGTGTCAGGATATCGATTATGTGATCTAAAAGGGCACTGTATTGCACTAGCGTATATACTAGCATATATACTAGCGCTAGCATTTCTACTATATCAAGTATTAGTTTTCTATAGTTAATAATGATTAAGACGAATAATACAATCAATCATATTAATAAGAATGAAGTACTTTACACTTTAATCAATACCAAATTGATACCAACACGTGTATTTCGCATTCAGGGAAAGTGGTCGATGTTGATGATACCCTCGTCGACTCGTGGCATCTTAGACCCCAAAGAATTCGAATAGATGTCGTAGGTTATTTACAATATACCAGTGGTATTGAGATTGACCTGCTTTCTTGGTCGTTCTTTCCTTTCATTTTTTGGCCTTTTCAATAAATCGAATCTTGTTCGTTTTCAACAACATTCCTAAACTCTATAGAATCCTTTGTGCTCCCAATTTTGTCATGCTTATGTTCACTCTACTCCTATCAACTCTCATTGTATCATCATCTATTTTCATTGTTTGTGCCTCATTTCTAACTAATGCCTGCCCTGATGAACGCACAACAACTCCAAAGATCAACATCACAAAGACCGCCAAAAAACGAAGAAGTACTCGCAATCTCAAATCTCAATCTCGTCCCCCTTCTCGGCCCCATTCTCGACCTAGATCTCCCATCTGAAATCAAAGCGCACATTTTTAATTACCTTGATGTCGAAGATGCAGGATCTTTAAGATTAATATCTCGAGCTTGGGCTATAACCGGGACCGAGAGACTTTTCCGAGATGGCTTCAAGCTCCACCCTCATTGTCAACCAACAGATATAGATAGGCTGTGTAAAGTATCCGAATGCCCGCGTCTAGCTCAAACAATCAAGTCGATAATCATATTTCTAGATTCGAGTGATGCGAGAAAATGGACTTTTTACTTTTCAGATGCTAGAGAAATTCTTCGGAGACGAATCGCTAATGAACCTGGCTTCTGTGATCCCATTCACTTGGCGAAAGCTTTCAGCAAACTTCCTAATTTCAAAAACCTCACGATCACCTCACTTAGTTATCCGCTTTCGGAAGATATGTTTCAATCGACCTCAACATGGATTCCTAGTTGGAACTCGACAATCGAAGAAGAGCGAACACAATTTATGGCAGATGATTTGTCTCAATGGTATTACACTTCGATAGTAGCAGCGATCAATGCGGCTGGTGTAATACTTTTGTCTGTTGAATTTGACTGCCTTCCCATGGATCGTTTATCATCCCAGGAGCTAGGATCTCCTCCTTTCATTCCCCTACAACCCTCTCTGCATCGACTTTGCCTTCTATCCGAGTGTTCTGGCCATCCATATAGATCTCTCAGTTGTCTAGTTACCCCTCTCGAGCAACTTTCGATTGGATTCTGGGACTATGGATTTACATCCTGGCAGGATTCGCTCGTTGCTCAAAGAATCATCGACCTTTTGTTTTCGGCACAGCGTCTTCGAAGATTAGACTTAATGTTTGTAATGAATCTCTCTACAAGCATGACACCAGACTTTCAAGTTGCATGGAAAAATTCCTTCTATAGCATCACGATTCCTCGTTTAGAAAGTCTTCGTCTACATCAAACAGACATTCCAGGACCTCTTCTCATTTCATTTCTTGAGCGACATCGGTCTACTCTCAAGAACTTACATCTTAGCGGAGGATATGGATGCGGACCTGGTAGTGGCTGGAATCATCTCACACGATTCCAATGGAAGGAAATGCTTACCTCGTTGAGAGATAATCTCTCACTTCAAAAATTTGAACTTCTGACGTATGACGATAGGAAGAATATATATGACTGGAATTGGAATACTGTTCCGGGGACAGACATAAAGTTTGCGAAACTGTTGGAAAATTATGTACTAAGAAAACGTCTGTGGCCATTTTTTATGCCCGTGGAAAAAAACGAAACACGATTATTGGGGTTGGAAAGTTGATGCGGGGGTTTGGAGAATGTCTTGATTTTGGTACTTGAAGTCCTTGGCTGGATAAGGAAATGGAACTTGTTAGGATACTCACTCATGACCTTTGCAACCTGTAGAATCAGATTGGAAACTTTGTATCTTTGTGTAGCGTGCATGTGTAAGACTACAAAACTCTAATCTGTGCTTTCGCCAGCCGAGCTCTTTTTTAGAACTGTCAGCCCAGCATTCGCTTGATATCACCGCATAATGCCATTCCTGGCGTTAAAGTGTAGCCAGAGTACTTTGGTACCAACTTCCGCTACTGATCAGATGGCAAATCCTACCAAAAACAATCCGCCGCAATCAAGCATTATTGATCTTCTTCGGCCGGTACTCGGCTTTGATTCGGTATGAGGTTTTTATTGTCAACATCATTATGGTTTTTGTTGTTGTCATTTCTCAGTAAACTGCTCACAAATACCTAGAGGAATCCATGAGATGAGTATGTAGACTTAATTCCAGATGAGAAATCGACCTGCCATCTTGGGAGTATAGCAGGAAACAGCATTCTCTCGCTCCACAGTAGTCTGAAGAAGTTTGGCAGCTCCCTAGCGGGCTGCATCCGATTCTCTGTTTAAAGTATGTATTTGGTGCTGTCAAAGTCAGGTTTATTGGCTTATAAATAGCGAGACCTCGAGGTGATTTTGAGATTCGCTGTGTTATCGAGACGCACGTGGTCACTTGATTTGTAGGGTTGTGTATGAGGTTAATTTATTAGCTGATCTTCGAGCTTTGTTGACACTATCCTCCCGCTCAAGATCAATCCCATACGTCAAGTTAAAAGGACCCTCTGAGTTCTAGTCCATTTCTTGGATTGTAAGATTGCATTTATCAAGTCGAAAGCAAATAACAGTGTTTTCGTTCTGTCCATATCTAATTGAGTCAGTCTAAGTTACGTTTCAGGAAGTGCGCTGACGAGAACTGCAGGAAAGGGGTAATTTAGGGTGTATATCTCGTCTCTCATCCGACAGATACCTATGGAGAGGTGGCGACGCAAAGAAAAGTCTAGACAACAGAATATGAAATTCGGCAATGAACATGCATTTTTATCAGCGCGGGTGATAATGGTTAGATTAATCGGTTTTTTTATCATAGTAACACTAGGGTGGTAGCTAAGTACGTTGAAACGCGTGCTTCAGAGTGTGCACATACTGAGGATCATTTCAACTGTTGTTCTGCTCATGTGGAAAGTTGAGTTTCACGCTCCGTCTTTTCTTTTATATACCTACCTAGCTATAGATTTCCGGACATTTTCTTCTGTACCCGAGGAGTGAGGAGCAGAAATCATGTTTTACTGGTGAATTAACATGAAAATTAATAGTTCAAAAAAATTGTTACAGGATTCACAGACTCAGGTTGAAACCAAATGGGTCTAGTCTCTATCCTAGTGATTCTGTTGAGAAATTGGGCGAAAATAAGAATAAACTTAATGTACAGACAAATGAGCATATAATAAAGCATACACTCTTTTATAAAAATACACCTGAGCAAATACCATCAATCATATAGACGACACATGAAGGCGTAAGGATAAATTTAAGTTTCAATTTGGTTATGACAGAATATGTCAAAATAATAATTTGCTTCGCTAACGCTTGGAATATAACATCGCTAAATCACCATATTCGTTCGGATTGATCTCATCAGGTATCAATCACCGCCTGCTGAAGTCTTCTAGTTCTCAACACCACCACTAGAGTACAAGCTAGCAGCAGGCTTGACGCTGTAAGCCTTCGAGGCATCGACACCGAAAGCCAACCATCCAAAGATACCATCAGCAACAGTCTCGCCCAAAAGCGAGTAGTTGATCATAGGATCAGAGGAAGCAGCCTCATCAACCAAAACACTATCCTCAGAGTTCAAAGTTGTTGGTTGGTTGTTGGTGCTGTATGGAGAAACAGCCTCGACTTGGGTAATCAAATCTTGATCGAAGAACATTTGTCCAACGTGGGAGATGACTCCGCCACCATAGGTACCGTTTTCATAGGTAGTTCCGTTGAAGTGGACGAGAACGTGAATGTGGTTTGAGCGAGAGGTGTAGTGACCGGGGAAGAGAGTTTGGAATTGAGCGACACCTTCGGAGTCGGTTGGCTGGAGACCGCGGAGGAAAGTGGCGTTGATGTTGGCGATATCAGCGGCGTTGCCGTTGGTTGAGGCGACAATACCACTGTATACACCGGTAGAATTACAATGCCAGATCTCGACAAAGGCGTTGGTGACGGGATCGCAAGTAGATATATCAATTACTTGGGTGTCAAGAATGAGATCGACTCCTTCTTGTTCTTCGACGATGCCTGCTCGGACATATTCACCAGAAACGTCTGAGCTTGGGTCTCAGAATTTGCTAGTATTGTTGGATGGATATGAAATGTGTACTTACAGTAAGGGCCTTGAGTGACTTCTGGGCTGAGAATGCAGGAGTTGTTTCCGGAAAATACAACGGACTCATCAGTGGTAGTGTCATAGTCTACAATAGACAAGTGTGTGGTGTTGAGAACAGTTGCCTCATCTCTTGCCTTCAAGTAAGGTTGCTCTGTTCGCAAAATGGATTAGATTCTCTGCATGAATTTGATAAGTAGTGCCAAATAGTGGAATGGAACTTACCAGAGCTGATACCTCTCTTCTTTCTCTCACTTCTAGCAATGGCAGAGCGTCTTGCAATAGCTGCTTGCTCAAGGCCTCTAGCCTTTAACTTTGCAGAGCAGTGGCTGAGATCACGGGTCTTGAGTTGAGACATGAAGGAAGCTCTCTCGGCAATCTCTTGTCTAACATCATGACCTGGGTGAGCAATGACAGAGGTAGCCAAGATGGCTGAAATAGTAGCTGCTGAGAAATGCATTGTCGGATGAGTGGTTTTGTAATTGTTCAAAGATTGCAAATACCAGAAGACTGGTGCTAGTGATACTGAGGATAGGATGGGAAGAAACTATTTTCGAACAAAACGTCGTCGGATTTATATATCTTCTCTCCTCCCCATGTTGTGTCTTCCCCCTTCAAACCTCTTGCCAATGTCGAAGGAGCTTACGAATTCATCTTCAACTGGCAATCCAATATTCCCAGGGATTGAGCATACGATAGATTAGGTTCTACGTACCCGTTACCACTTCAATTGTAACCTCCATCTCATCACTTGCAAAAGAGGAAGAAAAACACCTCAAACAGTCTCCATAGCATGTCACTGGCGACGTCTCGCTAGCACAAGAATAATCGTAACAGTATGTCACTGCCGGCCTCCCACTGGCAGTATGATGGGAGAAACGCAACAGACAGTTTTTCCAGGAAAGCTCTATGCAGGTACCCGGCCCCGTCGCTCTTGGCAGCTTATTTAGTACTCTAAAATTGCACTGACATATGTCGAGGTCAGTGCATCAAGTAAAGGTATATTTGCAACAAGAAACATTTGATTGGACAGAAGAAAAAAGGATGACGGATTGAATGAGCCACATCAGCACGGCACCCAATGCCGTGCTGGACAGTTGACGCGAATTCTCTTTCGAATAGTCCAGAAAGTGGAGCAAAACGCGCGTTGCTGGCCTTGGTATTGAAGTATTGCCGCCAAGGCTGAAGTCGACTCTCCCGCTTAATATTTGATCCGGCGCTATTACTCTCTTGAATATCAAGGTCTGGCTGTGCAGTTTTGCGTTTCGTATATTTACTGAATGATTGTATTCAGCATTGAAAGTGGCTGTATGTGTAGATTCTAAGACGATCGGTTCGTATCTAGAAAAAATCTTAGGGTTCATCTGGTAAAGTCAATGGCAGTACCAGAACGAGTTTCGACATGCCAAGATCATGATCATAACACCCAATTTAGTTGATTGATGCTTAATTTGATGCCATGGTGATGAAGGACTATCTTGATGGCAGTGATTGATACCTCGGTCCAGATTAATCGATTTTCTGGAATGTAACGTAGCCATGGAGTTTAAGCACTTGCAAGTTTTCGAGACATGTAACTTATTCACAATAACGGTAGTGATATGTGTCTTTTCTCGCTCGATTCCTTCAAACCCCATTAGGGTATGATCGGATCAAGAATGAGTATTCTTCAAATCGATGCTGTTGTCCCTTTGGCCCAAATAACGCATTCGCAGATAATCGAGGAAATCGCGATTTCATTGAATTTCATGACTTAGAAGCGGCGACCAAGTATGAGATGACATGTTTCTTTAACCAATGCTTCGGATATGATTGGGTTTTCAATGTGCCATCATGTGTCCAACCGAGCTAATCCCGCACCGATAGGAGGGTCAAGCGGCGTGTTGTCTCATGCCTGGAGAATAATTATGAGCCACGGGTGCTTCTGGCCAGTTTATGATAGGCTAAGACTCAAAGGAAGACACTATTTTCTATGCAATAATTCCCAATCTCTTGAGGAATTTGCACAAGTGACCGCCAGAGTCACGAGTATCGGAATATCTTTCCTCTTATTGATAATCTCTGCGGTGGGTAGGTATTAATCAATGTGCCAGTATCCGGATATGAAATGCAGCATCAAGTAAAATAAGTGTCGCGGAGCAGAGTGGATTTCGTAAAATCCAAGCATGAGACACTGAGAGGTCTCTGTTGATGTCCAAGCGAGAAGCTATCGAATTACGTAAGCTCTGAACGGATTCCTGATGATGGAATTGGTTAAGAATTTTCCTGGATAATTCTCGATATCTTGAATCGAAGGCGGAAAATGAAGCCCTTGTCAACGACCCATTTGACCCCAGAAGAAGGACAGGTGTTCTTGGATATTTCTCTAGCCTTGTCCATATCGTTTTCTTCTTTCGGGTGTTTAAATTCCCAAAGGATTAGAAAAACTATTCGTCGTTATGTGCGGCTTCCTAACAGGTCTTAATCTGATTTTTTTTGAGGATTTTCTAAATGGAATGGGGTTGCCGGAGGGAATTCTGCAACATTTGTTCTCCTTTGGGACAGTAGAATGTCATGTGACCTCCGCATCACCTAATCTCATTGGGATTCATTTTTAAAATCTGAGGATTTGAAACGTTTTCCGCTTCGGAAAGAATCTTAAGTAAGATTAAAAACATAAAGGAAGTTTTCACACCGAGCTAAATTGGACATCAGAATAGATTTGGACAATTGTCGCAATCTAATGTCTCTGAGAGTCAAGAGTTGTCTCGAATCCTGGCAAAATGAGTAAATTTACTTCCACGAGAAGTATTCGATTTGAATCCCTTGATCATGCATGAGGCCTTTTGAGTGCTCAAGCTCTCACGTGCTTGGCAGTAATATCTAAAGTTGGAATTGTCAATTTCCACCCAATTTCAAATCGCGTGGCTCAAACTCCGAGGCTTAGAGAACCAGACTCCGGTACACTTTATCATGAAGAAACATGTATGTAACTCAAGTGAAAAGGAACATCCATCTCCACTTTCAATTTCGGCGGATAATCTTTGAAGAGAATCAGTATGACGGAGTGAGAAATGACCAGTATCCTGAAAAGTCAATCCTCCGCATCGAAACATGCTGAAAACGCATGTCAGCGGCGTAGAGTCTTCAACAAGCCCCATATTTCGACATAATAGCATGGTGGCGCTTCTTTTGATAACCAGTGGAAATCAAGGTCAGGAGTTACAACAAGAAGACTAAGACTTACATCCCAGAAACAAAGTCATGCCCCAGTCTAGATAAAGCAAGCTATTGCAATTTAGGCATTCTGCAGAGCAGAACTATAATCTTTCTGCGTACATAATTTGCTGGTGAATGCAGGATGTCATCCCAGTCCAATATCTTCGTCGGGGTTGAAGGAATCAGTGTTCACGCCCGTCGCTCATTGATATAATAGGGTTGCTCGTGTACCTGTCAGCAGAGCAGGTGGCAAGGAAAAGCTAAGTATATCCTTGAATAGCATGCAAATCCAAATGCTGCGGCTTACGGAACTGAGTCGTGCAAGCACCCATCCGTGTCGCTCTTTAGGTAGGTAATAAGTGAGATGTCATAGTATTGAGGTACTTGAGATGGTTCTAGATCCTGAAGTTTGATCGCATGAGCAAACCTCTGCACGTTGGTAAGGGAGCAAGGACTGGCATTAGTTCTGCCTGCTTTGGATGCTCGGGGCGTGCCATTGCCAAATTCGCGAGTATTGATATTTGATTAATATATCTCTTGATTGGTAGAGCCTCAATGGTTTCATGGTAGAAGGCCAGTTGTGGGTGGGATTGTATCAAGATACGGTAATTAATATCTCCCTGGCTAATGTCGTCCGGCACGAGAGTACACCTCAAGGAATCATCCTGTCAAGGCTTAGAACTAATCCATGGTCCCATGATGATACTTTGAACGAAGGCAAAGTCCACACTGTCCCTGCTCTATCTCTTTAACAATAAAAAAGTGTTTTTTTTTGTTAGGAAAGATCCTAATTCTGAAACTGTCAAAGATGTATCGCCGTATAGCCTTTCCGCACAGGGCGGTAAAAACGGAAGGGGTGGTGGCAAATGCATCGGTCATGCTGTGGAAGTTCGGTGCAGAACCCCATTTCCCAGCCATTTAATTCCCCATAATCTCCGCGCTACGGCTGTATTCAAAGACCGGCTCGGCAAAGATTGTTATCGGTGGCAAAGAGACGATAATGGTAACTCTTGCATGATACCGAGGGCTCAATCTGTAACTGTCGCACGATTCTATGTAGTAAACATGTCACTATGAGACGTGGCACCATGCGTTGAAGATCATGGTTTCGTCATACTGTTTGTGTATTTGGGTCTACACTGTGGATGTAATACCCAAATATATTGAACCCCATCATGTATTTCATGTAACTTCGATTCCATATCTTCAAGTCGAATTATTTCGGAGAGCAAGCAATAAAGTTGATCAATCCAATTTCAAATGAAGGTTTCGTGGATCTTGTTCCATCAAAAGGCACCTGGTACTCTTGTAGTCTTGTATCGCGGCCACATCAAACTTTCGTAGAATAATATAAAAGCCTTGTAATGCCATGTACATACGTATCTGGCTACTCTGTGTGATCTTGGCCTGAGATCAACAAAAATGTGGAAGATAAATTCGCACTGAGCATGGTAGTATTCCCAAACGTTAACCCGGCGTGCATTGTGTAGCGATTGGCATTGAACTAGCTACCTCATTTTCATACAGTGGTCGTCAATTCGTCTCAACAAAGAGATCCCATGCATATATAGAGTATCATTCCCATCTAAACTTTCCAGTTTTGGAGGTCGAATACTACTCAAGCACACGGAGGGTTCTAAGATTTTCTACAGGTACGAATTAATGGTGGTGTGGTCGTACCTTTTGCTTGTGATCGCGCGCGCAGTTATGAAAAGATATATTAATTGTGACAAACCTGCATGTATAAGCACACAATATCACTAAAAATTCATGGTGACACATAAAAGTATGATGATAATCGACTCACTCGAATCAGAGCAATCAGAGCACTTACCAATAATGTAAGCGCACATATAGCCAAATCCGTTAACCGAGCCAGATTGATGGGTCACATCTACAAAACTAATGCACCCCACTACGGTCCGTTTCCCTACTCCGAAGCTCCTTTTTGACTGAATTAGGTTTCGGAGTCTCCAAATAAATTCGGCTTGAATTGTTGGGCACCAATCAACAAGAGTGGAGCTGTAGATCAACTCCGGACTTAGAGTAGGTAGTTGTATGTTAAAGATTGAGATTCACCAAAAGCGCAAGATTCGGTAATATACTCCAAAGAGTAATCATCTAGCCAGCCTCGGTGCTTTTTATCACTCCCGCAAAGGTGGGGTTACTCTTCTGATTACCAATTGCCATCTTTACTACCAAACCTTTTATTCCGTAGGTACATATATGCATTCGGTACCTATTAAATTAACATGGAAAAACGATTGGTTTCGCTACACCTAAATAGCTTGGAACGCCCGTCGAAAGCCTTGCCCAAATGTTGGTTATACAAATGAAAGGATGAAGTAATATCCAAGAATGCAAATAATTTATACGCGGTCTCGAATCGATTCAGCAGTCTGTGGTGAAATTTCTTAACCTTTGTCTCGTGCAACTTCCGGAGTCAAGGCATGATCCCATATGCATCGGTTTCGTATAACGGTATATCGATAGGGACAGCTTCGTCCTACAAATGTAGATAAAACCCCCTTCTCCACGGCAGGTACGAAAGTAATTCTTGGCCATCTTACATTTTGAATTCCTGACCACTCCACAAAATCCCACTAGTGACTTTATTCCAAAAGTGGGTATTCAGATCCTTCAACACTCGTGTATACATCGTCTCATATTGCCAGACTTCTAGCATTAGCCCTGCATAGCACTTTTATTCCCATCGCCAAGTCCTCGAATTTTGTGTTTGCCGAATCATCACCATGTCTTCAAGATCTTCTACCTCAGAACCACCAACACCCTCTTTCTCAAAGCCGGTCCGCTCTTGTGCCAATTGCCGCAAGACAGAAACTTCTATGGGCAGCTTCCCCAGTTGTGAACGGTGCAAAACACCCTACTGCTCTCGCGATTGTCAAAAGGCCGACTGGCCGACCCACGAACCAAATTGTAAAGAACGCTATAAATTCAGTATAACAATACACGGCGATAACATCCCAGACGGTTTGGATATCGAAGCTTTGAAGAAGAAAGCCGAACAAGACGGTAAAGAGTTCCAGTTTATACAACTGCCTTCGGGTCAAACGGGCGGCGGATCGAAGGGAGAAAAGAGGTAGAAAATCAAGCTTGGCAAAAGAAACCATCACATTGATGATTGGACAGATATATTCGATGGTCTGATCTAGTTGTGGTGATAAGATATTTGACCAATGCAAGGATTACGGCGAATGATCTGCAGAAGGTTGGCAGTGCCGGTACTTGGAAAACAGGAGGAAAATTGCTAGTGGGCGATAGACGATCGCAATGGACTGAAATGAATCCCCATAATAGCTGGATGAGGATAATCAACCATCATAAAAGGCGCGATATAGCGGGCGTTCCGGTTTTAATGCAGGCGGCAAGAGCGATGGATGGTCGGATTCGATGCGACGTTGAGATAGCGCGTTGTGCTACCAACATGGCACACCCATTTCCATAGTTAAACAATGTAACATAGAAATGTGACATGAGATAGAACGATGTCGGAAGTTCGGAGTTAACACTCAGTATTTCCAATGGGTAGTCAGAGCCCAACAATGAAAACCTTTCACTATATGAAGACGAATCAGCCTTCAAGACAATTTCGATCGATTTTTCATCATTCGAATGTTAAAATAGACTCCAGCAACAGAAAGTTTTGAATATTGGAACTTAGTTCGGATCGTTGCACAATCTGATTCCAGTGCTGCACCTGTAATAAGTACCACATATCCAAATTAAAACATGCGCCAAGACACTTGTGGAAAGAGGTCTGAAGAAGGGGACCTGTAGATCATAGGCCACACAAGGATTCCCGACAACGTCGAAGGTTACACATCTAAATCGAGATAGTCATCTAGAAATGTGAAGAAAGAGTCAGTTGGACTTACATCATCATATTCACCGTCAAGAATTGAAGTGAAGACTAATATTGTCGAATTATAAGAGCTCGATGATCAACCTCGAAATAATTTCCGTTCTCACTGCCATCATTCAATCTCCACACTCTTCCAGAATGAAGCCAATGTTTGACCTTGAAATTCTTTGTGTCGGAACTATCTTTGGTTTTGATAACATCATTCTCCGGTCAACCAGCAGGGTTCCTTTTGCCAGCAACGATTCTCTGTCGGATTGTAGACCATCGTTATCCACGACAACGTCCAGTCTGGAGAACAATTTCTCCGGACTACAGAACAAACTTCCTGGCTCTTCGTTGAATCTCGAAGGTGAGTCCTAGTTCGGAAGAACCAAGGGCCAAGGCTTGAGTGCCAACTCTGTAGTGTCTATACACAAGAGAATCCGAGATTCCCTCGGTGACCTCTTCTGTTTGGATATAATCCGGTCATTCTGGGCAGCAGAATCGTATATCATTGAACCATACGCCCGGGTGACATTCGCCAAACATATCATTTCGAGACGATTTCCGGCTCAGCAATCTTTGTATCTGAGTGAAACACTTTCAAGGATGGATATTGGAGTCTCATTCCTTCTGCCCGAGACTTCATAATGGGCTGTATTGATATCGCATCGGCTTATATACACACCTAACCTTGCGCGAGACAATGTTGTTCATGGTGCTGCAGGTGCAAATCCCCAAATTCAAAGGCGAATTTCAATCCAGCAACTGCGAGAAGTTTCTCGCGCTATTCAGAGAAGGGTAATCAAGTGCTTGCCAGGGTTGTCACAACTCATTCCAGAGGTTAAGGTTCCGGAATTCAAGTTGAGAGACTTCGTTTTTCATGTCTTTGAAGGAGGAGAGGTGCTAGTTTGGCTTTTTTTTTGTGTGGATGAGAATGAGTACAATAAGATTCTCGATCGATTGAGAAAATATTGGTAGTACTATGAGGGCTAAAATCATGATGTCATTCTGAGATCATGGTTTGAAAAGGTTCCGCTCTTGACTGCGGGAGGACCCGAGTCTGAAGCTTACGATCAAGGAATCACAGATCGACACGTGATTTGCGCCTTCATATGATGACTTTTCACTCATTTTCATTGAGTCGTGAGTGCATTTCCTGGAACAGAAGGTCATGTGTGTTGCCAAGGAGAAGTGTCGATAAATTCAAAATATTTCAAAACTTCATGGCACCTTCCACTATATGTACATCGGGTCGGGTAGCTCTACCCTAACACCTTAAATTTAAGCATATTTTCGATTGATATCCACTAACTGTATTCATGACTGAATACGAAGTTCCTATTGGGCTCCTATGGTATAAGCATGAGAAGACTGGAAGTTCTTGCATACGCGAATTTTTCTGCGCAACCCTTGAATAGAGAAGACCACGTGTGGCTGTTGAGTCCACCTTTGTGAGGTCTACAGCGAATAATCCTTCTATCTGACTCAGGGGCTGGCTTGGCATAAAGGCGATCCAGCTTGAAGAAATCCACCAGTGGATGCATGGACTCATGGGATATTCAAAAGGGAAAACACAATTTCATACCAAAAAGAACGATTTTAATAATTCAATTGTTATTAAATTTGTTATTAAATTTGTTATTAAATTTGTTATTAAATTTGTTATAAGTTGAAGTATATAATTCTTAAGTATAACTATTTAATATGAAATGAATTTTGAATTAGAATAATTAAAATTGATATTTTTGTCACGGATCGCACCCAATCGCAGCTGCGATCGCTCACGTGCGCGCTTGCGCACGTGCACGATCACGTGTACATAGCTAGTATATAGGAGCGCTCTACGAGCGCTTTGCTCCCGATTCTGTAGTTGTAGATTCTAAGGATAAATTGTACCCTGCTCTCGCAGTTCTTCTAAGGCAAAGTGTCACAATTTTGATAATAAAATATATAATCCCTTATCAAAATTTTTGGCAGAAAAACACACCATTAAATTTTTGAGTTTAAATTTTATTTTTATAGAATAAACTTTAAGTATGTTATTCTTTAATATTTAAAAAATACAAAATATTAGCTGAAATTATATTAAATCAAAATTCGAATTTTAATTGAATTATTAAAATTACTCTTTTTGATATAAAATTGTGCTTTGCTGTCATATTGTCCCGTGTACCTATTGGTAATCAGCATGCATAATTTAGATACGCTAAAGAAATCCTTGCTGAATCTGGCCTCCAATGGAGGCCCTCTCACTTGTAAATGCGCAATATATATTCATCCAATTCATAAATACTTCTGCTGGAGGATTTCAATATCATGTTAGCCCTGTCTGTTGCCAAGCTCCTTCTTATCATTCCTTCCTTTGCCCCACTTATCATCGCCCTCCTGCTGGTCCCTCCTCCGTACCTCCTTAAGGAGAACTTTCACTTCGGTAATCAACGTTATCTCGTCCAACGAGTTTGAATTACTCTAAGTTTGTGAGAACCTGGGCATGGTGGTCTTTGAATTTGGGACCTACCTTAAAAGAGACATCGGAAGATATATCCCTAGGTTCATGGATATATATGCACCCCATGATTCCTGCTATTATGGCTCTGACAATTTTGTGGCGTTTACTAACCAATAGGACGTCGTGGCGCTTACGGTTCTGTGCAGCTGCGGTCAGCCGCAAAGGTTGAACGGACATAACTTCAAACTATTATCATAAATACAACACAGCATTCTCTTCCAATTACTTTTAGATCAACCATGGATACATCAAATCTTAGAGCGAAGTTGAAATACAGACCTCTCGTTTCTAGAACCGCGATTCGGTTAGTCGTGATACATCCTGGCTCTGGGGATGAGCCTATCAGATGCCACTTAATACATACCAAGCTAGGTGAAATAGCTTACGAGGCATTATCCTATGAATGGAAAGAAGAAAGTAACGACGATCCGATGATTAACGTGAGCGGTGAAAATATCACTGTTCGAAAGAACTTGCATGATGCTTTGGTGCACATTAGGCTCCCCGAAACTGGGCTGCACATATGGATCGATGCTTTAAGCATCGACCAATCTGACATTTCAGAGAGAAATGCTCAAATCAAAATTATGGGACAGATCTACAGTGGTGCTCTAAGTGTCATCGTTTGGCTAGGCAATGCGGCAGAGAACAGCGACACTGCATTCAGGATGCTTAAAGAGATTGCTGCTCGAGCCATTCTCAGGAGTGATACGACGAACTACAACGAACACATCAATCAGCTTATTCAATTGTTCGACGGTTTTGATCATGAGGAATGGAAGGCTCTAGTCGCTCTTTGTCAGCGTCCGTACTGGTCACGTATCTGGGTATTACAGGAGATACATCTGGCAAAAAGCTATAAAGTACATTGTGGCAAAGAGTCCATTGATGGTAACGACTTCCAATACTCTATCGCAATATTTTCCGACGGCAGAATGAAGACAGATAAGAGTACTGAGTACTTCCGTATCATAACTGAGAGCGCTGTGTCTGCACATAGACTTGCGAAGGATATTCCCCCGCTTTTTCACACATTGCGTCGCTGGATATCAGTCACTTCGTATGGAGGCTTTGTGTCTACAAACCCCCATGATATGATTTATGCTTTGCTGGGAGTTTCAAGCGACTGGCAAGATGGCAGAGTGATACTCATACCCAATTACACCAGGCCATTACCAGATCTCTTCTTTGACGTAGTACGCATATTAATGGCGAAGCCTCTTGGAGATAATTCAATTAAAATTCTAAATCGGCTGGCGGAACGTTTTGAATGCACCACAGATCCAAGAGTCAAGAAATTTTTCACAGATTTAAAGCCAGTTCCCAAGTCTTACTTAGCTCAATTGCAAGATTTGATGCTAAGCTTTAAATTCAATGTGCGGAGATTTCTCAATCTTAAATCACTCGGGCAATAATACCTACCAGATCTCTCTGGTCTTGTTGTCTGGGAAATGACACCACAGCTTAAAGATGCGGTGCAAAATTCTCAAGACCCAGAATGACCAACACTTCGAGCCCGCTCTCCTTCGAATCAAAAATTGCACAGGAATCTGGCTCATAAACTATTGAACTTATTTTCATCAACAAAACTATATTCGTCGTCCACTCCATTGTCTACCGATGATTTCTTCTGCCAACTTATCGACGGGTTTCCAGTTCTTGATGTCATTTTCCAGATTCTTTCATACTTTCTTGACTGTTCAAGATAATCTTTTCATCACTCGATTAATTTTTTCTTCGTCTGTTCACACATGTGATGTACGTGTATATGAGACCCCTGGATATAAGGTGAAGGGTAATTGCTTGCGTCGTAGCAGGAGTTTCTGTACTGTAGTAAAGACAACGACCGATTTAAGAAATTTTGCCATCTCAAATTGGCATTTAGAACGTCAAGCTCAACTGCAGTGTATTTCCAAAGCTCAAATATACGAGATTTAATTTCTCCGATGGGTTTCTTGTGCACTAGAAACTGTATATCTTCCTTTTCAGAAAAATTGTTTGCCCGCCACGTGATGAACGACGGTGAGATTTCGAGAGACAATTGTCGGGAATGCACAAGCCCAGTATCTTTTCCCAACTATTCCCCATGCTTAACTAGGTATATGCCGCACTCGTGTAACGGCTAAGAAACCAGCAAAATGCACATGTCTACCATGACTTACGAGGCTATGGCATCATTACTGTACTGTTTGATGGGATGCATTCGCGAAAAACAATGATAGAAAGTGTAAATTCGGGGAAGCTGGAGCCTTGTCTCGGTTGGCAGATCCCTCAACGATGAATCAAGGCGAGCAATATCTTGTCAGTTATTGTCATAAGCATATATTCTTGATTCCTTCGGCTCTTTCATTTTTCCACCTTCCTATCTTCTCCTCATCAACTGTACATCGATTTTCGGAAAAGTTGAAGTTTGGAGTCTGTGATGCAGATGAGGGGCACCACCTGACAATGTTCGTGTTATATAGATTGCCGATGATTGCCCGAAACATTGGTGGAATTATGTGCAGTTGATGAGGTGTGGTCATTTGTGGAGTACTAGTCCTGCTGCCACGGCTGGACCTTCAAGAAAGGTAGCGAAACCTTAAATATATCTCAATACCTCTATTTGTCGATAGAAATTCAAAGTCTCATGGTCCTTCCTCGAGACTCTCACTAGTTTCTGCTAAAGTATATCTGAATGTGTACTCGGGTCTTTAGTCTGAAAACAACGTAACAGTCTCTTCGCATACTTCACCTGCTACGGCATGCTCGAATGAAACTCTAAATCTGCCATCCCTATATCGGAAGTATCACATGAACTTATTTTGGCAAGTGTGGTTTTGTATTTGTCCTTTGAATTTGTGGATGCTCTGGAGTCTAGTTGGATAAAGTTTGAAAAATATTGACATTCAATGTATCCAAAGACATTGACGCACGACTACGCGAAATTCTTGCAAGGATTTTTTTTAAATTGGAAGTGAATTATTATTTTGAATTCGAAACACTGACACTATCAGAGAGCTTGGTTGTTGATGACACAACAGTTATCTGCTGACACAATCATATCCAACCATGAAATTTCTCCTCTGTTTCTACGGCCGCCAACCCTAAACTAAATCCAGTACTCGTCTGTCGTAATATCAAATCTGTATTGACATCCTCCACCTTTCGGGCAACAGCCGTAAGGGCATTAGCCAAATGATATCCGCCTCTAGAGCTAGCAGTCGCAAGCGAGCTCAAATCATTATAATCAAAAGTTGTAAGATGAGTCCAGCCCCGAGTCCTGAAGGCTTCCAGTACAACTATAAGTATAATTGCAAGATTGACCAAGAAAACAGAGTATACATAAATAGGCTGGCCGAGGCGAACTGCGGCGTAAGTGACTGTAGCATTTACGGTCTTGGTATCGTTCGCAATCATCAATTGTGCGCTCGCGTATGCGACTAATAGGTCATCCATCATTGCTGTGACAGAATTCTCGATTCCCTTCAAATTTATCTCTTCATCGGTGGGCCTGATGTCATTGAAAGAAGGGCTGTCCACGTAGCTTTGATAATCAGCGATGCTGAAATTCAGCGCAGTTCCAATAACGCTCTATAGAAAGTTAGATCTATGTTAAACATTCAACTAGAAATTATGGGACATACCTGATAAATACCAGTCAAATCGTTAGAAGCCAACTCAAACTGTCTTTCAACTACATGCGTAAGATTGCCGCTGGGTTCAATATCTTCTGTCGACACGTTCGCTCGTGTGACGGTGATGTTTCTGCCTGCGAGTGCGACAGATACATTGAACAGTGATGGGACGAACTCAGTCCTGCACTGAGTCGTGTTCAAATAATCGTAATAACTTCCAGCTGCAATGGCAAGGTACCTTGGATTGTAACCTGTATTTCTGGCAGCAACGCCAATGGCAACGAGGGAATTAGTTGAATGTCCAATGTAGACAGAATATTCTCCAGTGTTATTGATGCCAGAGTCGGGAAGTCGTCCACTGGCTGCGAACAATTGCCCTCCATTGTGAACCAAGGTGAAATCAGAGGTTTGGTTATAGATACACTTAGTCATGGCTGCGTACCCTAGCTCCTGGTATGTATACCCCGTGGCGATGGTATTGCCCAAGATTTCATCATCGGCAAGGCCTACTGATGCGCCTATTCCGTATGAACGACCAACGTACAGGTATTTTGAGTTGTCAAACTTTGCATGTTGGCGTAACGAACCATCCATGGTTGTAGCGGTAGAGAGAGATTGTGAAAGAAGTCCAAGGTAGTGCATGGCAGGAGAATAAGTGAAAAATCCTTTCTCGTTTCTGAATTGAGGACCGTCGGCATCAATCTCGGAAGGCCACTCTTTGACTGAAGTCATGTTTGAGTATTGGGGGATGACGACAGTTGTTGGACGAGATTTAGACGAGTCAATAGGCGTGATTGCACCAGCCCATAGTGCTGGAGGAATTGCACAAACGAGAGTGAACATAAGAAGAAGTAGAAGATACATCCAACGTAAGTCCCATCGCATCGAAGCTAGACTAACTCCGTTCCAGAAGTTCAGTAGATTAGGGGAAATTGCTCGTTGTTTCAATCGTATCCGAGTAGCATAGTTGAAAAGTCGACATATCGCCGCTACCTGTGCAAGTCCGAGTGCAGCTGCGATGATTTGAACGACAATCTGGACGGATGCTCGATTTTTAACAATCAAGTCGTAGACGACACCGCCAGATACCGATGCATTTCGTCTATCCGCTACTAGAAGGAGGCTGCTGAGAATTGTTGTACTAATCAAACCAAGGAAACCGACGTAACGAGTTGCTAGACTAGTTTTATAGGATATTTCGGGTTTTTTCGATTTTGAACCTGGTAACAATCCATCCATGCTTTGGATGCTGATGTCCATAAATCCCGCTCGCGGGGACAATTCCCGGTGTAGCGAAAACATAATCAGCAGCAAGAAAACTTTACTCGGTCCTCAGAGAAGACGATGATCGAAGGGCAAGACACTCATAATGTAACACGACTTAGCGTTGGGGCTGAAGATAAACGCAGCATTAATTTGGGTGAAATGTAACTTCACATCGCGACCCTGCTCCTGCAATGCAGGTGTAGCAAATTGATCCGCTATGTTTACAGGGAGAACATACGCCAATGAAACCGATGCCAGCCTTGGAGACCATTTTCATAGAACTATTGGACATGCAGAAAAGTTAATCGTTTCAGAGAGTTACATTGAACCGATTTGGGGAGGCTTTAGCCGCCCACATCCGACGCGAAACGGCACATGATAGGAAGCTGCAGGGTAATTTCGGTGACTAGCAAAACGGGAAAAGATTTGCTATCCATGAGCCTATAAAGATATCTTATCAAGTTATCTTCATTTAAGTGGCAACAGCTATGAATCCACTTTTTTTCCCTTGAGGACAACTGTGGTTGAAGTTTGGGCAGTTTTGCCAGCATGATAGACGCGTCTAATCAGCCAAAATGCCTAACAAGAGCCAGCCTTTGGCCTGGTGGAGAAATGGACGGGCATAATTGTCTGATAAGCGATAAACCCTGGAGATTTTGTAATGGCTCTGATCCGAAAGGGTGTGATGTACTCAAAATAGTCGCTCGCCATGTTTGTCTTCAAAGACCTTTTGAAATAATGTTGCTAAGAAACGCGTGGAAATTTTATTCTCACCAAAGGTAGCCGCGGGAGGAAATAATTTTGCTTCTTGGCCCCAACAAATTTCTCCCCCAAATGTGGGGTCAAAAGCTCAGAGAGATACAAAATCACAAATATCAACTACCGATGAAACAAACATTTGCTGAAGAACACAGGGAATGGAGTTCATGTCAATCACACCATCTCAATCAAAGCCTTCTTTATGCTCATCACGCTATCTTATGATCTATCTCAAAAGCGGAACGCGTCATATCCACCAACATCTCTTCGTCAGTCATAATCCTGAAATGGCTGTAGGACTGAAACCAAAAATATCTAGATAAGGCAAATGGTGTTCATTCCATACATTCTAATCAACATGTGATGTAAAGCAATAGAGAGTATATGAGCAAGCTTTCCAAATTCATCGTTTTCAGTCAATAATTCATGGGATGTGACTAAAAGAATATAGCAAAGAGCGAAGTTTGCTGAAATGGCTTAATTAAGTGTCGACCATACAATTCAAAGTTGCCTCCGAGTAGTTACCTCCCCTTTGCAATGTTCCGCAGCTTGATCAAAATGAATGGTCTCAAAAATATACCCATCCTGATCAGCTCTGTCTCCTAGGGTTTGAACCCCGGACTGGTAATTTGAACGGTGTGGCCCCCTCGACCAGCAATCATTTATCTTTGAGCATGTTTCGGGGATCGTAAGGATTCAATCCTTTAGAAAACTTTTTCAACTCGTCACTTTTGCCAGCAACTTGCTGCTGTGGTTTTGGTGTTTGCTTGAGACCGTTAAGAAAAAAATACCGAACACAGATGACAAACTGTAGCGTCGTGAAACGAGTTCTTGGAACTGAGGGTCACAAGAATATAACATTTGGCGAGACCGGTGATATAGTGATAGTCAAATTCTAGCTATCCAACATGAGAAGACTTTAAAATAAGTCTAGTCCAACACTCTCAATGCACCAATAAATTGGGCAACGTACAGAAGGCACAGCTTCCTCAGATCACACATATGCAACTATGATCACAAATTCCCCTGAGGAGGCCGAAATCTGACCCGTTGTACATCGAGATTGGACATAATTTTGGGGTCTTGATATAAAAAGAGATATTGCACAAAGTGGCGAAGAACTGCAAGTTGCAAGATGGAGCTAATCATGAAAAAGACACTCTCAGAGTTTTCGATATGTTATTATTGACAACGTTCCCTGAGACCGAGTGCTGTGTCCGAAACACACAAATTTTGACCTACAGACTAGTTGAGGGAACAAAAGTAACTTAGAACCAACATCATTCATGCTTCCGCAAATTTGCAAAGAGGCCTGTGAGGATTCATAATAAGTCCACTAAATCACTTATTAATATCTTACTAAATAAGGGATATCTTGATGACTAATACACATATAATATGATCTTATATTATAAAATCATATTATCATATAGTTGTATAATAGTATCTATCGTACAGGACAATAGCATATCACGATGGAGGGGAATGATTGGACAATAATGGTATAAGTATAAGAATGTGTATATCTCCTCATCTACAGTTAGAACTGATCTCTTCTCGTAGAGAAGAGATCGGATTATATACTGGGTGATCTTCGGGTACCGATCACGGGAGCGGTGATCGGTCCTGCGGCCGATCCGGTTATCGTTGTTCCGCTCCGGAGTATTCTATATAATGAATACCTGACCATCACATGATCTGATCCACGTGGTCTACAACACCGTTTCCGTCACACACCCCCCAGATCGCGATGATCTGCATAAACAAACAAAGGAAATTAGCGCAGTTGCGCCTTGTTGGAGCCTCAATGTGGTCTAGATCATACAATGAAACCATCTTATCCCTACCATGGCAGGGCTTTGATGTCCATTCCCTATATGATCGGTATGAGAGTGTGATACAAAGGAAATTTTGACGCGCCCCTAGCCGTCGGTAAGTTGTTTGATTCAGGCATTATGGGGTGATATCTCTCATTTTCCACCATATTGCCTGAAAATTTTCAAAGGATCGCGGGTAGATGCTTTCTTGAAGCCTCACTTCGCTACGTATGCCTGCTGATCTGCCGTTACAAACAGAGAATACAGGTTCTGATCCTCGTATCCGCGGATGTATGCTGCAATGTCAGCATTGTTATCCGGATAGGGTAATTGAATTGATGATCATAACAATGGTGGCGTTAGGTTGCCAGAGACATTCAGGAGGTCCAGGCGATCTCTGATCAAGTGATCTTGCCCACGTGCAGGGCAGATGTGATCTATAATACACGCCCTTTCCTTCGAACTCTTCTTTCTCTAGACATCAACACCATCATGTTTTGTTTCCTTTCGAATGGATCACCCGTCTCCTGACAAACGTGGTCCTGGTCGGCCCAAAAACCCTGAAAAGACAGGGCGCCGTGGTCGGCCAAGAAAGCATCCCTCTGCTGTTCCTTCTTCTCCTTCTACTCATGATGAGTTCTCTTCTGAACCTGCATTTGAGCGTGGTTCACTTCCACCCCCAAGGTCCCCTGCTCCGGCAGCGACTGATCCTCCGGCAACACCATTGACTGCTCGTCCGAGTGGTCTTGCTACCGTTGATCCTGTCCCTGCTCCTGTGAGCCCTGCTGCTGATCGACCGTTGACTCAGCAGCCACTTCTTCCCGAAAACCTTCCTGGAAATCCCTCGATTGGTTTTCCTCAACTGCTCCCTTCTGCTCTGCCGTCGAATGATGGCCTTGCCGATCCCAACTATGCTGCCTTCCTTGCTTGGATGCATCAAGCCCGCCAACACCCTCCACTAGGAAGTGCTATTAACCCCGTATTTCCTTTTGCCCCTGTTGTTGTTACTCCCCCTGTTCCTGTTCCTGTTGCTACACAACAAGGATCTCTGCCTGTAGCCCCACTAGAAGTAGGTATTGTCATTGCCCCTGGGTTGACCACGTGCTGATTCGAAACTAGACATGGTCCGCTCGAAAGCATGCCTTGTGTGGTACTGCCCCGGGAGTTTGTCGTGACAATCCTGAATTGTGTTCCTTCTATAACTTGGAAGGAGTGATTGTTCCTGGTTCTCAAGAGGCTATTGCGATTCCCGCAGGATCAAGGGAAGGTTGCCAACTGGTCAAGATCAAGTGTGAGGATCCGGATGACTTCGGAATCCCCAATCCTCTCGATGGCCGATCTGGGTTGATCACCGCCGCGCCTGCTAAGCACCGTCCTTCTCGCGATCCGGACAGCTACTTTCGCGCTCCCTCTCCCTCGCACAACAGTCCCGATGAGCATGGGTTCTACGATCTCCGTACTTCCGATAGTGATCCCGATGACGACTTGCCTCTTGCAGATCTTCAGTACATGAGGACTGAAAGTGATCCGCCAAGGGCGTCTGCCAAAGCTCGGTCCTCACAACCTGACGAGTTCACCAAAGGGCCAGTGAACGATCGTCCGTGTCTTGGCTGCATAAAGTCCTTGGTCTCTGGGCAAACGAAGACCTCAGGTGATTGCCACAAGGATCTCGGCCGCACCAAGAGCACTCGTTGCTGGAGTTGCAAAACACACGTGTGTGAGGTCGCTTCGGATGCCATAGTCTCTGTGGGAAAACTTTGTGCCGATGCTTACAAGGCACAGGATAAAAAGGTATGTACTTACTTCCACCCCCGATCGATCATGGTGTTGATAGCCAAGCTAGAGACTGGAAAAGCTCCGCGGAACCCTTCGAGAGCTCCTAGCAGAGTCTGAGGCTCGCAAGTCTGCTAATCGTAAAGCCACCACGATCGATCTCACGAGAAAGGACTCTTCCACCAAGAAGCATGTTCCTAAGGATTCGGTTCCGAAGACTTCTGTGGACAAAGATAAGTCGCTAGCCCTCGTTCGACGTCTTGAGAACGAGGCTCGTGAAGCGAAGAGGCTTGCCGAGGACAAGCAGCGCGAACTCGATCTGCTCTTGGAAAAGGAAAAGGCCAGGAAGCGTGCCGGGTCAACTGGAAGAGTTCAATCTCCGGCCAAGAGGAAGAGATGAATGTATTTTTAGCTGGCCTCTTAATTTAACTCTTTGATCCGCGCACTGATATCCTGTAGATTGAGCATTGATCGAAAGCGCTCGAACTTCTGTCGAGACAGATTCTTGGTTAATCCGTCTGCTGTCATATCGGCAGTGGGTAAGTAGGTGACATTGAAACTTCTTTTGGCGTATTCTTGACGTAACCACATATTCTGTATATCAACATGCCTGAGTTTAGTAGTGATCCGTTCGTTTTCCCCGACTACTAGGCGTATTGATTGTGCGTTATCACAGAAAATGGTTACTGGTTCTTGAACCATAAGATCGATCTCTTTCAAAAGACGTAGAGTGGCCATTGTTTCTTTTGCTGTTCGTTCCACACCTAACAATTCTGCTTCGGTTGTAGAAGTGGTCACAGTAGATTGACGTGATGCTTTCCAAGAAACTGGTCCCCCGAAGAGTGACATGACATACCCTTGAGATGATCTTCTGGTTTCCTTGTCGTCTGCGAACGATGCGTCTGAGAATACTAGAAGTTGAGGGATTGGCTGGGAACTGTATTCTATGGATAAAAAGCGAGTGTTCCATAAATACATGATACAATGATCAACAGCTTTCATATGATCAGGAGATGGATTGGTAAGGAAATGACTTAGCTGAGAGGCTGCAAATGCAATATCAAG